AAAAAAAAATATTCAAATAAAAACATATTTATATAAAATATTTATAGAATCCTTTTTTATGAACATCAAGGATAGCAAAATTTCGCACATATGAAACATTTCTAGCTCAGAGCTCACGTAGTTTGCATAGTTGAGCCTGAAGACAAAGATAAAGGAATTTGGTCAAGGACACACAGCCAAAGGAAATACACAAGACGCAAGCATAGGCAAACGCAAATTCGAGCCAAATGAAGTTCCCCAGTTCGAACTGTTCGAATGTCGAATAAGCAACAGCCCCTCCCGGCACACGCACGAAATGAAAATCGAAGCAAACCAACTCGAATTCGAATGCAGACAGACATTTCGAACCTTCGAACGTCGGGTGAGAGCAACCACCCCTCATAGCAAACTCGAAACAGGGGAATTATGCAAACTACGTAACGCAGTACGTTCTACGTAAACGTAACATGCCACAAGTGTGAAGTAAAACGCGAACATTTACAGCACGTGATACAGCCGAGAAGTTGAAAAGTAGCTGACATAACGGCACATGCAGCAGTCACAGAGCAGAGAGCGTGGCAGCTCACGAAAGACAGAAGAAGAGAGAGAGAGTCCTTACGGAAATGCACGTGAGCATAAAGCACACTCACTCGCTCGCTCGCTCTCTCTTCGTGTGCTATRCTGTGGGGTGGGCGCCTGGCATTGGGCTAGGGCCATGGTGGTGGGTTGTTGTCCCTTCGTGCGGCTTGTTGCTGCTGCGAGTGTCGAAGGCATTTCCCGGGTATAAAAACGCAGACACAGACGCCGTGCGAGTCAGTCGAACGCCAGCTAGCCCCGAGTGCGTAACACAGCAGAGTCAGCAGCAGGAAGTAGTGAATAGTGAAAGCAACGACAAGAGTGAATTTTTACGTAATCCATTGCGATATGGCCATACCGTTTTACGAGGACGAGCCGGAAACGGCGACGGCAGCCAACCTAGACGCCAGCCAAATTACCGACGCTGATCAGGTGGACGGCCCGCCGCTCAGCTATAGCAGCAATGATGCGAACGGCTACGATCAGGTGGACTACGAAGCGCCATCTGCATCCGCATCCGCATCAGCATCGGCAGCAACAAGTAACACACAAGCCACATCCACCGACAACAATGAGATGCCGCCCAGCACAGAGGAGCAGTTGCTTGTTTGGAAAATGTTAGCATTAGCCATGTGCAAGGTGCTGAAACAATTCTATCTGCAGCAGAAGAAGCAACAGCAGCCGGGCAAAACCACAAAGCTGACGGCCACCGTGCAAATACAGCCGCAAGCGCAGTAAAGCTTAACTAAAGAGAACAAGAACGAGAACGAGAACGACGACGAATTCAAGGCCCCACTCAAAACGAGGCCTCCGATGGCTCCTAAGCGCAACTTGTGATTACTTTTCGTTGGTGAGAACTAGCGCTCCCTAAGCTAAACAGGGAGAGACAGAGAGAGAGAAAGAGAGAGAGAGAATGGATGGGAGAGAAAATTTATGTGAACGATTCGCAAAAATCACAAAAATTCAAGGAAAACAAAAACAGAAAAAAAGTAGAAATTTCATAGTTTTGTATATCGTTTTAATTTTCTGGAACAAGTCAATCTGAGTTTTGCCGTCGCTCGAGAAAGTAAACAATTTGTGTTTTTGAAGGCTGATTTAAAATGTTTGGATAAGCGCAAATGTGATAAATAATTTTGCTAAAAATTGTATTTTAAGTGCTCACTGTTTTGGTAAAGTTATTTAAGCATCGAAATTAATTCAGATACTATGTGAAATGAAATGAAACGAATATTTTTCTAGTTTAATTTTATTGAATTAAGTTACAGCAGAATGGTCGGCCCAGYGCAAGCAGCAGCAGCAGCTAGTTTTCAGACACAGATACGAACCTAAGCTTAAGTCCAATTTTTCTACTAATAGATGTGTAACAGTTTATATATAGATAATAGTTCATAAGTTTATATATATAAATTACAAACTTTTACAAAAAAAAAAGAAGAAAATATTTAAAAAAAAACTCTCTTGGTGTCTATTTACAAACAAATCGCATCGATTTCACTCTTAGGTAGTTGGCTTCTTAAACTAGTTATGCAAATATTATAAAAAATATATATATATACACATATATATAAATATATTTTTGTATAA